ATTTAAACTAGCTATTTACATTTTTATATAAATTTATGTTTTATATATTTATAAATATATAAATTTAGCTATATTTAAATGCACACAAATATGAAAGCAGGTGTGTGTATATGGCTCAAACCAGGACAGTATAGATAGATACATATACATGCACTCTTCATAATAGATGTTATAAAATATAAAACACATGAGGGAAGGCAGGTAAGCACAAGGGAAAAAAAAACAACAACCCTATTTACTCAATTAACTGATGCACTCTTCAGCCATCAGCATTTTCTTTAAGTCACTCTCTATTCCCTCTGGAATAAAGAGCTGATTATAAAGCAGAAGGTGAGAGGACAAACCCTTCAGATTAAAAAAGTAAAAAGCTTAAGGTATTTTAATGCAAAGCCCCCCCTGGAGCACATCAGCCCCCCCTCCCCCTGCTTATAAAAAGCCTTTGCTTTTGGGGAGGATCACCTGCTGTGGCTGTTGGTGCTGGTGCTCCAAGAGTGATGTTCTCCTCCAACACCTCCCAGGAGCCCCCAAATAACGGGACCCCAGGGCCTTTTGATGGCCCCCAGTGGCCCCACCAGGCCCCCCGGGGCACATACCTGTCGGTGGCCGTGCTGATGGGCATCGTTGTGGTCTCTGCCTCGGTTGTGAACGGCCTGGTCATCGTGGTTTCCATCAGATACAAGAAGCTCCGGTCACCCCTGAACTACATCCTGGTGAACCTGGCTGTGGCTGATCTGCTGGTAACCATCTGTGGCAGCTCCATCAGCTTCTCCAACAACATCAATGGCTTCTTCGTGTTTGGCAAAGGGATGTGTGAGCTGGAGGGCTTCATGGTCTCTCTGACAGGTAAGGACACAAAACTCTTGTCTTGGTCTTTGGTTGGTGCCATTGCATTTAGCCAAGAAGTTTTGGGGAATGGTTCATCAACTTTCTGTTTCTCCTAAAGGCAACACTTTCACACATGATGTAAAATTCATGTCCTTCAGCTGTTCTTTGGCACAGGAAAGGGTGGAGCAGGTGCTTGGAACCAATGTGTCACAGACACCCAATTCCAGATCCATGTTTTGGGCCACAGTGCTCCCTACCATGAGAAATATGTCTGACACGTTGTTACAACAATATTTACTGCAACAGCTTGTAATCACGGTCTGTCACATCCCAGCAGAGCACTGGGAGAGCCTATTCTTGAAACACAAACCCTCCTTCTCCTCCCCCAGGCACTGTGGGGCTGTGGTCCCTGGCCATCCTGGCCTTTGAGCGGTACATCGTGATCTGCAGACCCCTGGGAGACTTCCGGTTCCAGCACCAACACGCGGTCACCGGCTGCGCCTTCACCTGGGGCTGGTCACTGCTGTGGACAACCCCTCCACTCTTGGGCTGGAGCAGCTATGTGCCCGAAGGTAGGGAGATGCAGTTTGGACAGGAGCTCCACAGCTTCTTCTCATGTATTGTTTTCAAGTGCAGGGGAGCTGGAGAGTCTCTGCGCTGGCAGTTAGAATGTCATCACCTCCTGCCTGCTCACTGACAGCGTCACGAAGAAGGGGCAGTGCTGGTGGCATTTGCTATTTTGGAGCCTGGTCCTGAGTCTCTCTCCAAGACCAGAGATGGCTTCAGGCTTGTTTCAAAACTTGTTTATTCCAGGTCTGAGAACCTCTTGTGGGCCCAACTGGTACACTGGTGGCAGCAACAACAACAGTTACATCTTGACCTTGTTTGTCACCTGCTTCGTGATGCCCCTCAGCCTGATCCTCTTCTCCTACACCAACCTGCTGATGACCCTGCGAGCGGTAAGTGCAGCGGGTTCAGGCGAGTTAATGGTTTTCTGCTCACAAAATGCTGGCAGGGCACCTCGCCATTGGGTTGAAGAGCCTCAGGACAGGTTTTTGTGGCCATGGATGGAACTGACATCTGGCACTGGTGTCGGGGCACCTAGGGATGGAAGTGCTGTTGGAGGTTGTTAACTGGCACCTCTCTGATCAACGCTCCCACAGGCTGCGGCGCA